ACTAAAAAGGGCGCTAATCAACAATTTTAGAAAAAAATCCTCCCCCCAATCTATTCAAATCAATACCATTTCTGTTTGAAATACACCAGAGTATTTTGCTTACTGGAAATAGTAAATTTAATCCTTTAGCTTTTAATAAAGCTAAAATGAAAGCTTCAAGAAAACTTTTTCGTTAATAAAATTTCATTTTAAAACAAGGATTCGAAAATTAGTGGAGGTACCTACTTATAGTCATTTAGTAATCTGTTTATTTCCTGCCAAAATTTAAGCACAATATTAAGAAACAGGACAATTTCGTTAGAAAGAAATAAAAGATTGGACAATATCATCATGGATGAAGAAAAAACATGAGGCAAAAGAAATGAGGTTCTACAGAAGGATGCTGAGAATACCATCGACCGAACATGTGACCAATGAGGAAGCTTTAAGGAGAATGGAAACAAAAAGGAAACTTATACTTCGAATTAAAGACAGTTGAAATTTCTCGTGTAAATAACGAGGAAAGGGAGCTTGAAGAATTTAACACTCACAGGGCATATTGAAGGTAAGAGAGACAGAAAAAAAATCAGCGAATAAGCTACATACCGAGCCTATGTAAATGGTTGGCACGTTAGAGATTATGAAAGACAAAATCTACTAAGAGCTACAAAGGACAGGAAACTGTGGAGAGCCATGATCTTCTACATCGGGAAAAGACGCGTCATATAGAAGAAATAAATTGTTGTGTGGAGTGTTGGGTCCTTGCTTCACCACGCTTGGTTGTGCTTCTGCAGTTTCACTCGCGAGTAGATTGCAAGGGTTAGAGTCGCTAGCTCTATGATCATGAGGTTGGAATCTCTTCTTCTCAACTCTCTCCTTGAATGGCTGACAAACAAAGCAAGAGAGGAGGGGTGTAATGATTCGTACATTTCCCTGTAGTATTTTAACGAAAGTTAACGTAACAGCCTCAGCTGGGATTTAAACGCTGCTCTTCGGTCCTACTTTCCGCGTTGATAACAGCTACACTAAACGCACATACGCCAGACCAGTTTGGCATCACGACCGTTACGCCCTGCCAATACCTTCATAATAGAATACTCCATTTTGATCGCGAGGAAAACAGAAAAGACAAATTAAGAGTACCTATTTGGTTTCAGTGAGAAAGAAAGAAAGAAAAGTACCTAATAGAAAGAAAGAAACAAAGAAAAGTACCTCATAGAAAGAGAGGAAACAAAGAAAGAAACAAAGAAAGAAAGAAAAAAGAAAAGTACCTAAAAGAAAGAAAGAAAGAAAAGTACATAATAGAAAGAAAGAAAGAAACAAAGAAACAAAGAAAAAGAAAGAAAGAAAGAAAGAAAAAAGTGAGAAAAGTACCTAAAAGTAAGAAAGAAAAAGTACCTCATAGAAAGAAACAAAAAAACAAAGAAAAAGAAAGAAAGAAAAAAGAAAGAAAGAAAAGTACCTAATAGAAAGAAAGAAACAAAGAAAAGTACCTAATAGAAAGAAACAAAGAAAAAAAGAAAGAAAAATTAAAGAAAGAAAAGTATCTAAATGAAAGAAAGAAAAAAAGAACAGTACCTAATAGAAAGAAAGAAACAAACAAAGAAAAAGAAAGAAAGAAAAAAGAAAGAAAAGTACCTAATAGAAAAAGAAAGAAAGAAAGAAAGAAAGAAAGAAAGAAAAAGAAAGAAAAGTTTGGTTTGGTTTGTTTTCTTTTACGGATTAACAACCCCAATGGGTTATTTAATGCCGACATTATTTTTATTACTGGTAATATTTTTTCAAAAATGTATTGCTGGTAATAACTTTTTTCTTCAAAAATTTATTGCAGTTACTTTTTTACAAAAACGTATTGCTGGTATTAAAACCTATTTTTACACTTTCATAGTGTTTTGATCCCAGTTTAGAGTTAACTATTTGTCCTTAGCTGAGACCCTAACAGGTGCTACCACCTCGGGTCAGGGTGGAGAAGTTCCACGCTCCTCAAAGCTTCCTGATGCTAGGCCTTGCCGTTGGATGTAGTTTATCGCCTTAATCAGGACGCGGATGTAGTTTATCGCCTTACTCAGGACGCGGATGCAGTTTATCGTCTTACCCAGGACGTGAATGTAGTTTATCGTCTTACCCAGGACGGAAGAAAGAAAAATACAGGTGATGATGATGCACTCATGTGTTTAACATCTTCTTGGAATTAAAAACATTTTCAATTTTTAATCTTTTAAATCATACCCACTTGATTAAATAAAAAACTACATTTCTATATATGAATGTAATATTTTCTTAAAGTTCTTAAGCTCAATAATTTAACAATACAATAGTGAAATTACTACTGTACGAAATTATTAAACATTAAATATTTCATTAAATGTTTCATTGAATGTTTCATTAAATATTTCATTAAATATTTCATTAAATGTTTCATTGAATGTTTCATTAAATATTTCATTAAATATTTCATTAAATATTTCATTAAATGTTTCATTAAATATTTCATTAAATTTTTAAATAAATGTTTCATTAAATATTTCATTAAATATTTCAATAAATGATTCATTAAATATTTCATTACATATTTCATTAAATGTTTCATTAAATATTTCATTAAATGCTACTGTGTTTTATGATAAGTTCAGAAACTGGAAAATAACATTTTTCAAGGTATTGGGCACCCAGTGAGAATCGAACTCACTACTTGTCTAGCGAGACAAGCTTGCTTATCGTTACACCGCCTAGAAGTACCCGGTTTGTGGCCTAGAACGGTTGACCCTAGACTTGAATAGATTTAAGACAATGATCGATCAAATGAAATAAATATTGGAGAATATTGTTGGAGCTATATGAAGTATTTCAGTCAATTAGTTTATTAACCTACTATTATAATAGCTTTTAGTAGTTAGCAATACATTTAGTCCAATTTTTCTCGGCTTCTTTTTACACCCTTTGTCATCAAATATCGATTGTTTACAACAAACTTTAAAGCAAAGACCATTTGTCTGCCTTTTCTCCTTAATCCATTCATAGTCAAGGCTTTTAAGATTAGACTGCACAGATAAAAGCGGGAAAAGCTGGCCATTTGTTGGACTTAATCTCTTTGGTCGTGATAATCTGTTTATAGCTGACTTGAGTCCTAATCCCTACTCTAAGTCAGTTTTGAGGTAGCATTTATTTGAATAACAAAAACGCACACACACACACACACACACACACACACACACACACACACACACACATACACAGGTTGCGATGAGTAAATTGTCGCCATTTATATTGTTAATTTAGCGCATGCGTTTTGTTTCTTTTTGATTTTCTCGACTGCACAATATAGTAGGGTCAGTTGGGCACCCTCTGTGAGAAAAAGAGTGGCATGACGTAATTCACTCTGCCAGAAATTTGGAAGCCACATTATGTACTGCTTGGAATTCGGGCCGAAAGCTCCAATACGAACATTTCAGAGTGTTTGGCTGTCAATCTGAAGATAGTGCAGAGGATTCGGAAAGAGTTGGGTGAGTCTAATGGTGATTACGAAGGTACGGCAGCTCAGAAAACTCACTCTGGTCGTTCGGATAAAAAAAGAACTCCCGAATTTGTTGATAAGGGCCTCAGCCTTAACACGGAAATCTACATCAAGTGCCTTGAGGAGGTAGTGCTCTCCTGGGTCAATAGGGTGGCTGCTGGAAGACCCTATGTCTGGCAGTAGGACTCTGCACCATGCCACACAAGCAGAAGAATCAAGTCATGGCTGTCAGACAATTTCTACGACCAACATCATCCCTTACATCTGGCCACCTAACTCCCCAGAGTGCAATCCCCATGATTATTATGTGTGGAGCGCAGTTGAGCAAGAGACCAACAAAACTCCCTGTCACACTAAATATGAACTGAAGGCAAGGGTTATGGAAGCATTCACAAACATAAACAAGGAGACCATCCAGAAGATTCTGAAGTCGTTTGGAGGGTGTGGCTGAAGCCAATGGCGATTTTAGTGAATAAATTTGCTCTTTAGTATTTCAAGATATTTTTGTGTAATTTGGTAAATATATCTGTTAAAATGAGATGCCAGTGTTATTTTCATTTTGGCGTAATTTAGACGGTAATTTATCCATCGCACTCTCTATATATTCGAACCCCTTCCCAACATCTGAGCAAATGACGAAAGATTAAATGTATAGAAAACATTTTAGCATGCCAATATATATATATATATATATATATATATATATATTACATCTACGAATTGAGCTCTCTGTCACTGGCGAAGAATAAGTACGTAATAATCCGACTTTCTTTCCACAGAGCGCTGATAGCTCAGGGGTAAAATTTCCGACTGATTTTGATTTGGTATCAGTCGGATTTCGATCCCGGCAATCGGATGTCTAGCCACATTGATGAGATGCATTGATGAGATGTGATACGCCGAAACAGTCTCTCTGCGGATGATAATATATATACATATATATATATATATATATATATATATATATATATATATATATATATATATGTTTATGAATAAAAATGACAATAGGAAAACTAGTAATTGCGGACGCGTTTCGTCCAATGTGAACTTTATCAAAGCAAAATACGTATATTGCTTTGATGAAGTCCACATTGGACGAAACGAGTCAACAATTACCAGTTTTCCTATTGTCATTTTATTCATAAATATTGTCTTTACTGGTTAAATCGGAGAAATTTTTATATATATATATATATATATATATATATATATATATATATTATTTAAAATTGCATATATATATGCGAGTTTCGTTAAAATGAATGACAATGTGCTATGGTTAAGATTTTTATGTAATTTTTCATGTGTTCTTATATATTTTTTAATTTTATTTTTAGGTTATATATATATATATATGTTTTATAAATCTAAGCACTTTCGGCTAAATTTTTAACCATTATCAAGGACGAGCTATAGGCTATGAACATGGCCAGAATGTAATAACCGTGTTTAGAAAAGTAAACATTCCTATAAATCTAACTACATATATAAAACAATCCATATATTCAGTTAAAACTAAAATAAATTTCATGAGAACTCATGACAAATTATATAAAAAACTTAACCATAGTACTTTCTCAGTCTTTTTTAACGAAAATTGCATAAAAGAGGCATTGCTGCACAAATACACAATTATATATAAATAATAAACACACACACACATACATATATATATATATATATATATATATATATATATATATATATATATATATATAGCATAATGAGAAGCCACGCATACTTTCTTAATATGTATATATAGAAAAAGTTGCAAATAAAAAAAAATAATAATGTTTTATTTTATAAAAGTATTTATTTATTTATATATATATTTGATATTTCAGGTTGCCCTCAATCTTTCATCAGAAATAACTGTTTGTTACAAATAAATTAAAATTACTGTTTGTTAGCAAGTAGCGTCCGTCGCGAGACGCGGACGTCACGTGATATGGAACGTCACTGTTCGGATATTCCTAACTTAAATCTAACTGTAATAAATATTTTAGATGTTGTTTAAAAAATTAAAAAAAATTATCTATATCTAAAAAAACATGCTTAACTATTGAAATATTTGTAAAGATTTAAAATACCTAAGTCTTTATTTAACCCTAGTTTATGTGTATTTAATTTTAAAATCCAATTTATATATATATATATATATATATATATATATATATAGTCAACTTCGGAGAAATCCATCTAATAACAATATATGTTATACCCATTATTTCAAGGGTAACATCGAAGATAAAACCAGCTTTTCATTTTTTTTTCATTACCCCACGCAAGACAATACAGACACTAAGACGCAAAGGAGTTACTGTGCGTGAAAGAATTGTACACCATAAGATTTTTGGCAAACTGTACATCTCAAGATTCTGGGCAAATTCCAAAGAAGGATCTGGAAAGTAAGCGATACTGACCAGGCCTCTCGACTTCAGTTACTTTCTCACCGACGTGACGTGGCTTCCCTCTGCCTTTTCTATAAATATTTTCATGGCAACTGCTATGAGGAGCTTTTTTTTTCTGGTGCCACAGCATCATGAATTTAAGCTTGCTACTAGATTGACATCTAGGTCCCACACTTTCACTGTCGAAACAGTTAAATGTAACCGCCTCTTCTATAACAACAGCTTCTTCTCTCGCACTTCCCGCCAGTGAAATATCGCTAGACATGAGAAATTGAACTAAATCTATATACCCACGTAGATTAAATAAAGGGTTCGTAATTTCCTGTGGGCTGCCCGGATCGATATAACCTGATGAAGGCCGGAAGGCACAACAACCGAAACATGGTGATAACAACAAAGATAAGGACAATAGTCGGCATGTAAATAGGTTAAATAATTATAAATCCTCAATCCCGAAATTACAACAGAAACAAATATTTACATTTCAGTATACACCCCTTCCTTGTCAACGCACTAAATCCAGCTGCATTTCACGCAGTATACTTTGAATCTTTCAATTCAAAATTCGCCTAATACGTACAAATCAAACTACAGATTATTGATATAATCTAGTATAATAATAATAGCTGGCTATCCGAAGACTAGGGTGACTAGCAATCCCTATTGTATACGTTAGCTTAGGCACATTTGTGTTTGTGCCCTCCTGTGCTTTATACTGCAACTATGCTGAGCAGACCTTACTTACCATTTCTGAGAGAGAGCGTGTTATCTAGCGTGATCAATAATTTGAACACGGCCTGCACAATCAAAACCTCGGTCACGAGGACTTGTGACTTCGTGCTAGCACAGCTATCAACACCCTCAATTTCACTCACCTGAAAACCATACCACGGGTCGATACGCGATGATTGGTTTCCAGGCACTTTTCAAAGTTGCGGCATACTGGGATCTCTCCGCGCCACCCACGCCACTCCAGTACGATAACATTCAAACCCTTGGCTACGTGTAATCATAATTATTTCCTTTTATATTTCAGAATATTCTTCCTGCATGGGAATATTTTGAGGGGCTTACCTGACAAGATGAACGTGGCTCCGGGGTAACTGTCTCATGTCTGCGTTTTCTGGGAACACCATCCCCAGATCGTAGGTTGGATTCACTTCAGTGCCGATTCGATCTCCAATTCGATTATGAGGTAAGAGGGATACGGGACTGTGGAGACTCTTCAATCTGCCCATTCTGCGAGCCAAGAGGATCCGCTGACGGCGGCGCCAAACTGATAGATAGATAGATAGATAGATAGATAGATAGATAGATAGATAGAAAGAGTTAGACTCCTAGAGGACAAGATAGATAGATAGATAGATAGATAGATAAGAAGAGACAGTCATATATATATATATATATATATATATATATATATAGTTTTAAGGTGTGCTATATTTATGGGATAAAGTGCTCAATATCAGAGATAGAGCGTATGTAAATATAAAACTGAACATAGACGTCAACACTTAGAGGCAACAGTCTGTTTCATGCTAGTATGAAACAGCCTGTTGCCTCTAAGTGTTGACTTCTACGTTCACTTTTATATATATATATATATATATATATATATATATATAGAGAGAGAGAGAGAGGGATAGATAGCAAGAGACAGTGAGATAGATAGATATATAGATAGATAGATAGATAGATAGATAGATAGATATGAGGACGGGATTAAAAGTTCATAGGCTGACTGTGAAGAAGTGAGGCAAGAGCTGTAACATCTTACATTTTTTTAATTTCATTTATTATTATTAATAACAGCATTTAGTCTTTCTAAATAAACTGACATCTATAACTATTCAAAGAAGACTGTTCATCCCGTTTGTCAAAAAATCATCAATACCAGATATGACTTCATCTCCACGGCAATACTTCCTCCCAGACAATTGGTTTTTTTTTATGTTGGGGGACAGATGATAGTAAAATCAGAAAACCAGAGACCTGTGGGCAAGAGCATCGTCTTGATGAAACAAGGCTCTTTTCATCAGCTTTTCTGGGCGATTGTCCTTGATACCCTTTTGTAATTGCCTCAGCAAGTTGGTATGTTACTTTCCATTAATGGTGCGTATTTTGAAAATAGTCAATAAACACAATGTCTATCAAATCCAAAAAGAACTGAATCTATCACGTCCCCTGCAGCTGAAACGCACTTGGCATTCTTTCGAGTAGGCGAAGAGGAGTATTTCCATTGCATGGATTGTCTCTGATTCAAACTGATGAACACAATACTGAATACTGAGCATGGTAACGTTCAAGCAAACCAGCTGGATCTGCTCCAAATCACGACAGATTTCCCTATGGTATGATCAGCCTGGTGCACTTTTGATCGGGTATCACAAGACGTGGCACCCACCGAGCAGAAACCTTTGTCATGCGAAGTTCATTTCGCAGAATATTTTCAACTGTCTCATGGGATATGCTAATAGCATTGGCTAATTTGATTTGTAGTCAATCGCCTATCATCTATCTCCGCGCGTTGAACACGATCAATGTTTTCCTCGGCAGTGGTACAAGTAGGACGTCCAAACCTCGGGTCATTTCAAGACTCTCCCTTACTCTTCAAAATTCAGCTGTTCACTTTTGCTCCTAATGTAACAACCATGTCACAATGAGTGTTTTTGGGTGCTAAACTCTTTTTCTGTAGGCTCTTGATAACATCACTATACAAATTTTGTCCATTTTTAAGAAAAGTCAATACTAGTTACTTTTCAAGTCGTCTTTGAACAGTCAGAAAATAAACATTACAGCCATTAATAAGAAGAGGCGAAAATAATGCATGAAAGTTCTTGCATGTCTAACATCACTTCTTCATAGTCAGCCTATCAACCTTTCAGACCACACCGTAGATAGATATTAACTAATATATATATATATATATAATGAAATGGACAAAGTCCGAAAATTATTTTAAAACATTTTTATACATTCTTTTTATGGATACAAATATTTAAGTAAATGCTCTGTTTTATAATAAACAGTATTAATAACATTTACCGGCCTGAATATCCGAAAATTTTTCATAGAAAATATTCGTCCTCCGACAGAAATCGAACCTGTATCCTATACGGAACCGTCATATAGCCTGACGTGCCTTAACCGATTGAGCCACGGAGAATCGTTCGATTAGTAAGGTCGTTTTTACTGCTTGTGAGAGATTCATCGAAGATTGTAGTTTGAAAGCAGTAAAATCGACCCTGCTAATCGAATGATCCTCCGTGGCTCAATCGGTTAAGACACGTCAGGCTTTATAACGGTTCCGTATAGGATACAGGTTCGATTTCTGTACAAGGACGAATATTTTCTATGAAAATTTCTCGAACACCCAGGCCAGTAAATGTTATTAATACTGTTTATTATAAAACAGAGCATTTACTTAAATATTTGTATCTATAAAAAGAATGTATAAACATAAAAGTGTCTTCCAACACAGAAAAGTGTATATATTAAAAAGAAGAAAGAGACCGCAAACGTTTTTGGTTGTAACATGGATTTTAAAAAAAAATATTATGCTTCATTTTCCATAATTTTGCTACACGGGTTTCAGGTCTCGCGACTTTCATCAGGTAAAGCGTGGAGATTTCCACATATTTATTAAAAATAATTAATTTTTTTCTTATGTTTTTCGGTGTTAAATATTCTGGATATGAGACATACCCCTTTTTGTGTGTTAGTGACCCAAATGTCTTCCAGAATTGACAGTGAAATGTTCTGCGTGAAGGGTTATAAAACAATTAAGATCGCTCCGAGAAATGGTGAAGGAGTTTTCGGCATTCTTATGTTTTAATGACCCCTGTTCGATCTTAGATCTATTTACATTTTCTTGTGTTTTTGTCAACATGTATATGTTTATTCCATCTCTATACATACACACTGTCTTATTACATATACACATATACACCCACAAACACACATTTCCTATGCTGTGCTGTGTTCGCGTGTGTTATCGTTGTTTTTGCCAATATTTGTATGTACATATCACCATTTCTCGGACCAGCCTTAAACGCTTGTAGCAAAATTATGGAAAATAAAGCACAATATTTAAAAAAAAAATCCAAATTACAACCAAAAACGTTTGCAGTTTCTCTCTCTTTATATATATATATATATATATATATATATATATATATATATATGCTTTGGTTTACTTACATATATACTTACATATATAACCAGAAATTATTGATGAGAGACTTATAATTACACTGACAGCCAACCAAACATTGAAAACTGAAATAAAAATGAATAAACTTTATGATAGTTTTACCTTTATAGTACAACAATAGTGACTGCATTTAAATATTTTTGTCGGTGTCACTGAAATCAAAAAATGACAAAAACCTTTTCTTTGGTTTATATTCAACAGTTTATGGGTTATAAAAAAATCCTTAATACTTATGAGGTAAACATCACCAGGATAACATTTCTGAGAATTTGTCATGTAAAAATTGATCCACACAAAGTATATATATATATATATATATATATATATATATATATATATATATATACAGTGTAACCCGGATATAAGAGAGTTGTCGGGACCGGAGAAGAAGTCTCTTATATCCGGGTTTCTCTTATATCCGGGTTTGGTCTATTTTATATACATTAACACAGGTTCTAATTTGGGACCATAGAAAATCTCTTATATCCGGGTTTCTCTTACATCCGGGTTACACTGTATATGTGTTTGAATAAAAACAGATCACTTTAAGGTTTCATGTAATAAGTTATTTCACCACAACCCTTTTAACAGGGCTCTGGATCATCAGACTTTACTTCCAAATGTTGAAATGAAAAATGAAAAGAAATTCACACGTTTTTGACGGACCGCATCAAGCATATGTAAAATTAACGAAGTGAGGAAGTGAGGTGGGAGAGAAGATATGAGTGAGTTAGATGTACCATTTCAATTCCTTATTCTTAACCTCACTCTGTGTAAGCTAGACGTCGCTTAAACTTAACGCGTGTTGTCTCTAGATATAGATGGGTAAGGGGTGAGGGAGAAGACCGACATTAAAGGAAGAAGCTACAACAACCCTAATAAATTAAATTCCACGAGGGCAGGTTTCATTCAAATTCTTAGACGCTGTTAATTCGCATTACTTTAAAGGGCCTATTTGGGAGGTTAAGGTTTGATATAAATCGAAATGTCTAAAAAATCTACGAAGAATTTAATTTGAAGTTCGTTGGAGTTTTGGGTATTTTCTATGAAACAGTCGATTGGAAAAACTCATGGAAAGTACATTGAAAAAGTAATCTATTTTATATTTAGTAATCTTTTTTTATTTTCCTAAACGTTTTTCTTATTGATTGTTAAGTTGACATCTATTCGTTTGATTTTTGTTCATTAATTAAATAAACTCTTGATTGTTTTTAATACCTAATTATCAACGGTTATTCCAATTTAAATAATTTTATCATCAATAATGATTATTAAAGGGTAATATATTTCAATTTAAATTAAATTATCAATTTAAAGTTTACCTCCGTATTATTTATTTAAACTCACTTTCAGTTGGAGAATATTAGAGGAGAAAATTGGATAAAGGATTTCTACCAGAGCGTTAGGTCCTTCTTTTACAATGTACTATATATCTATGCATATACCTTTTCCTAGTTGATTATTCAGTTGACATCTATTCGTTTGAGTTTTGTTCATAAATTAAACTCGTGACTTTTTTAATATACCTACATAATTATCAAAGGTCCTTCCAATTTAAATAACTTTATCGTCAATACTAATTGTTAAAGGGTAGTACAATGTAACCCGGATTTAAGGGAGTTGTCGGGACCGGAGAAGAAGTCTCTTATATCCGGGTTTCTCTTACATCCGGGTTTGGTCTATTTTATATACATTAACACAGGCTCTAATTTGGGACCAGAGACAATCTCTCTTATATCCGGGTTACACTGTATATTTCAATTTAAATTAAATTACCAATTTAAACTTTACCTCCGTGTTATTTAAACTCACTTCCAATTGGAGAATATTAGAGGAGAGATTTGGATAAAATATTACTAGGAGAAAACTAGGTCCTTCTTTTACAATCTTTTATATATCCATATTCATATACACTTCCACACATGTCCGAACCCCTATCTATATCCACATACCTATATCTCACTATATACCCATGAGTTCTTATATACACCTGCACACACATCCACACGAAAAACTATATGTATATTCCCATATTTACACATATACACCTGCAGAGAGACACATACCCACATATCTACATACATATCTACACATACACTTATACTTACATACATATATACACATAAAATCACCTGCATATCCATATACATATACATCCATGTACATACGCACATATACATTTACACACATATATGTATACACATATACACATATACACACACATATGTATACATACATACACATATACATACACATACACACATGCATATACATACATAATAAGCAATATATCCACATATATACATATGCGTACATATGCACGTACACATATCTACACACGTACATGTCTCTATCCTCATGTCCACCCATACACCCACTTATGCCTGCATTCGAAGACTTTATCAATATTTAATTACATTATGGATAACCAAATCGTATCATTATACATATCTCTACACATATATTACCCGCTCTTCCATATCTATGGCAAAACATATAGGTACCCATCTAATTATACACATCCACACTCACATAAAAAAAAATTCTTGTATGCCTCTCTTTCCATATAAAAACATATACATGTACATATCAACAGGTGCATCAGTATTCAAGTACAATACCATAGTTGTATACATATAGTCATGTGTTGGCGTTCATGCGTGCATAGTAATATTTCCAAAAGCAAAGGGAACAAAAATCATTCAATATTATTCTTCTTATATAATTATTTATCAATGTATTTACTTAGGTTTAGGTTGTTTTTGTGTCGGCATTTAAAAACTAGTTTATTGTGTCTATTTAGTAATATGTCTGGATCTTTATGTTTGATTATGAAGATTTTCTCCTTTATGCATAAGTCGCATCTGTCTCTGAAGTTTTTTTGAGTTCTGGCTCTTGATATTATTTTCCACTTTATTTGTGAGGTTAGGCCACTCTCCAACAAATCCCAATAATGTTTTGATAGAGCCGTTTGGTTCTTTTTACACTTATTTCTGAAGGACTGGCGATGGTTGTACAGTCGGTGTTTCCAATCTTCCGCCGATATTCCTATGTATATCTTTTTCTCCTCAACCTTTTCTTTGGGGAAAATTGTTGCTTCATGTATTGTGTTCTCTGCCATGCATATTCCTTCAACTGGGCACTCTGATCCTGTCCTGCAGTTGCATGTTGATTTTTCCATTCGGGTTGTATTATGATTTTGTATTAGATTATCATGAAGGTCTCTCAAGATTTTACTATTGTGTGAGCTAATAATTCTTTCCATATTATCCATGCAAGAATAGCTAATCTTTAGATTCATCTTGTTAAATATCTTTTTTAGAGATTCATTTTTGCTAAAGTGTTTTTCTATCAGTTTTATGAAGTATTTACCTATATTAATATTGGAAACTTTACAAAAAGGTGGGTTGAACCATACAATTTTCCTTTTCCTATTTTTGGGTTTAGTGGATTTTTTATTTACTGACTTATCTATGTAATTTAGTGTCTGTTTAAAATTACTTTTTAATAGGGCTTTATTGTATTCCGATTTATTCTGGTTAAAAATGGTTATACACACACACACACACACACACATATATATATATATATATGTGTGTGTGTGTGTGTGGTTTCAAGGTATTTTTACAAGCAATGTGTCATACATACAGGTAACCATCTGCGATATTAGTAACCTAGAACAGATTCTACTAGGTCACATAGTACTATTGGCTAAGATTCAACCGTTACTTACCGTTTTGTGATGCAATTTCGTTGAAACTGCCAGATTTTGTATTCTCGGAAATTTCTGAAAATAAAATCAGATTAATTATTAATAAATGTCAAGTAATAAATAAAATTCCTGTCGTAATATTTTGCAAGAACCACAAGAGATTGGCGGAATAAACTGATGATTTTTTTATCAGGTTGTAGACCAAAACTCTCACTAAAAATGGTAAGGGATACAATTAAATAGATTCGGAAATCGACTCTAAAATCGAAACAGATATATTGACAAATAATGGAAGGAAGGTTTTGTTTCATGGATATCATACGAGGACTGGTGGCATAAATTGAAAGTCAAAGCACGATATTGATATAGAGATATACCAACAGAGTGTAATAGATAGATAGATAGATAGATAGATAGATAGATAGATAGATAGATAATGAACAAAATGAGATAGATAGATAGATAGATAGATAATGAACAAAATGAGATAGATAGATAGATAGATAGATAGATAGATAGATAGATAGATAGATAAATTAGTAGATAATGAACAGAATGCGATAGATAGATAGATAGATAGATAGATAGATAGATAGATAGATAGATAGATATGAACAGGCTGAGATAGATAGATAGATAGATAGATAGATAGATAGATATGAAAAGGCTGCGATAGATAGATAGATAGATAGATAGATAGATAGATATTAACAAACTATGATAGGTCGATATTAACAAAGATGAATCGATACATATGAACAAAGATAGATCGATAGAGATGAACAAATAAATATAGATCGAAAGATATAAAAAAAAAACTATGATAGATAGATAGATAGATATTAACAAACTAAGATAGATACATATTACCAAACGAAGACAGGTCCATAGATAGGTATGTACAAACTATGTTAGATCGATAGATATTAACAAACTAAGATAGATAGATAGATAGATAGATAGATAGATAGATAGATATTAACAAACTAAGATATAGATAGATAGATAGATAGATATTAACAAACTAAGATAGATACATACAGTGTAACCCGGATGTAAAAGAGTTGTCGGGACCGGAGAAGAAGTCTCTTATATCCGAGTTTCTCTTATATCCGGGTTTGGTCTATTTTATATACATTAACACAGGCTCTAATTTGGGACCAGAGAAAATCTCTCTTATATCCGGGTTTCTCTTATATCCGGGTCTCTTATATCCGGGTTACACTGTATTAACAACCTAAGACAGGTCCATAGATAGATATTTACAAACTACGTTAGATCGATAGATATTAACAAACTAAGATAGATAGATAGATAGATAGATACTGATCTGTTAATTTAACGTCCAGGAACTCTCTGTTATTTATTTCAATGTCAATTTTTAGCCGAATGTCTTTAAACAGAATAATGATTCTTTTTCGTATTGTGTCATTCTCTTTGATTTACGATTCCTCATCAAGATTAATCTTTCTCCTCTGTATAAACATTGTTCTTTTAATAGACGAGCTCTCTCGTCTCTTTTTTTTTTTTACTTTCGCCCCCTCTTTGTCCACCAATGGCAAACCTCAAAACTTCTCTTTTCCTCATTGTATTGATTTAAGACAATGTAAAATAATTTCTATTTCGTCACCACAAACCACAATGTCATTTTTTCTAACCATACGCCATCGTTCAAGTATTTTTAGCTTGTGCTTAGGCAAATGTAATTCATATCCTATTTAATGATATCAGTCCGTCAGCGTGATATACGCTTATGCGATCATGTATCTTTCGTCGTCTTTCTGACGAGGCAATTTTTTCCGCAGTAGGTTGCCATTTCTTTCAGCAGTAGACTAGTTGCCACCCAAGGCTATAGAACCCAGTCTGTCCTGCTATTTACCCATAGTCAGTCAGTTATGTGCCATGCGGGATACACGCTTATTCGATCATTTATCTTTCGATGCATGACTGACGAGGCAGATATTTTTTCTTTCTAGACCAGTTGCCATCCAAGGCTATAGAACCCAGTCTGCCCTGCTATTTACCCATATCACATTAGTTATGTGCCATGCGTGATACACGCTTAGGTGATCATGTACCTTTCGATACATGACTGACGAGGCAAATTTTTCCAGCAGTAGGTTGCCATTTCTTTCTGCGGTTGACTAGTTGCCATCCAAGGCTATAGACTCCAGTCTGTTCTGCTATTTACCCATAGTCAGTCACTTATGTGCCATGGGTGATACATGCGTAGTCGATCATGTATCTTTCGATACCTGACTGACGAGACAGATTTTTTTCCCGCAGTAGGTTGCCATTTCTTTCTACAGTAGACTAGTTGCCATTTATCTGTCAAACTATTTAGGTGGGGAGAAGAGGATTCATACCTTTCTCAGAGGTATTAGCATGTAAGTGAATGTAATTGATTCGACTTGAATTCGAACTCGGCTCTCCGAGTCATCAATCCGAGCCGCTATCCATTACTTCACCGTGCCTCTGACTCTGTTACTATTTCCATGGCAATTGAATTCCATTCTCTTGTTCCCGCAGTTCAGATCCTGACAGACACCACAGTTGAATCACACTGATTTCCTGGGTTTAAAACGAGAGAAGAAAATTCCACTCACACAATTTTTTCCAAGAATTAGAAGAGTCTCCCACATGAGTGCTTTTCTGAAAACATTAATCTTGAGCTGTTCTTGTCAAGGGTTTCTCATCCTATTTCATCTTAATCATAATCCATTCCTACCACCTTATCTTCCATTCATATAACACGCATCAATCAGCTTTGCAATTTCGACTGTAACTTTTGAGTGGCTTTTGAGCTTGATATTGAGTGAACTTTAGTATTAAAAACAGAGTCGAATCGGGGAACGCATGTTCTCAGGGGTGCCCATTTTAGGAGTTACTCGACCAAGTTTCGGTACCATGGTTCTTTTTTCAGATATTTTTATCATAAAGATGGCATTTCTTGTTCCAGCGTCTCAACAAAGCTTCACTTTTCTTCTGCTGTTTCGAGTTGAATTATACTATGAGCTCTATTCCTTCGAATTCTAATTCTAATCCTCACTTTCGAAACTTGATAGAGTCCAAAATCGTTTACACAGTCTTGTAGGGGAAAATTATTTTCCACTCTGTAGCCACTTTCCCCACAGACGCGACGTTCGAAACCTACCGCTAATCAATCATCATGTCAAATGTTCAGTTGAGTACTATTCTTTAATTCCACATGGTGAAATCTTTATAGCTAAAACTCGTCATACTACGTGGATGGCCTCTAATAACATCCATTCTCTCCATATTCATGTTGCAATAAAGTTCCTCCTAGGCAGCTTTTTACCCCCAAAATACTACTTTATGAAACAAACTCCCGTGTGAGTGCTTCCCGTAACACTAGAATCTGAAAGTCAAGGATCAATCGTTATTTATCCCCTCATAATCTTCACTTACTACCAAATCCTCTTTCATTCATATCACGCATCTTATTTATCCTTACCATTTAAACAGCAACCCTCTTACTTGAGTGACTCTCGAGTCCTATATTAGCTGAATTCTAATATAAAAAAATTAAAAAAAACACTCACCTGAGCGTTCACTGTAACATACGTGGGTATCGTTGCTATAAAAAGTACCATTCTTTGTATAGATATTTTTGATGGCATTGGAATTTGGCAAAATCTCTAAAAGACCTGAAATAGATGAAACAACATATAATAGAATCTACCTTTGGTAAATAAACCCATATTCACTAGAGGATTATGGTAAGCATATATACTCTTATCAGAGTGGATGTCATGTGTATATTCGTATACTTATACCCCAGCGTTCCTTTGTTGGCGTTTTGTTCTCTCAACCAATCAATCAATAATAATAATATAATTTGAATAAACATTCATATAGTGTCGAGTTAATAGAATTTATCGTCTCGGGTAAAATTATAACTTGCGATAGTAAACGTATATATTTCTGAGGTGAGGCATTATGTACACTATTTACATTATTCGGACTATTATCCTCATCTTTGTCACCATATTTATTACAACGTTTCGGTCTTACAGAATCTGTCTATATTTCTGAGGTGAGATATTATGTACACTATTTACATTATTCGGACTGTTGTCCTCATCTTTGTCGCCATATTTATCACAACGTTTCGGCCCTTCAGTACCTGTGTATATTTCTGAGATGAGGTATTATGTACACTATTTACATTATTCGGACTGTTGTCCTCATGTTTGTCGCCATGTTTATCACAACGTTTCAGCCCTTCAGTATCTGTCTATATTTCTGAGATGAGGTATTATGCACACTATTTACATTATTCGGACTGTTGTCCTCATCTTTGTCGCCATATTTATCACAACGTTTCAGCTCTTCAGTATCTGTCTATATTTCTGAGATGAGGTATTATGTACACTATTTACATTATTCGGACTATTGTCCTCATCTTTGTCGCCATATTTATTACAACGTTTCGGCCCTTCAGTACCTGTGTATATTTCTGAGATGATGTATTTTGTACACTATTTATATTATTCGGACTATTGTCCTCATCTTTGACACCATATTTATTACAACGATTTTGCCTTTCAGTATCTGTCTATATTTCTTAGATGAGGTATTATGTGCACTATTTACATTATTCGGACTATTGTCCTCATCTTTGTCGCCATATTTATTACAACGTTTTGTCCGTTGTACGCTCCGACCTTCTTCAGGTGGTTGGAATGTCGAACTGAACTCTTTATTTCACTCACTAGGGTAGACTGTTCTAGTTCCACGTGCCATGTTTAATGGATGTCAATTATCAGTTATCTCCTGTTAATTCCCCTCTCCAAGTTCTCCACTGCCTTAACCGGGTATTGAACTCAAACTCTTTGGGTCCTGTCACTGCATCTAACTAATGCCTTTATCAACTGTGCCATGTGTCCCCAAGGATACATGGCACAGTGGAAATAAAGGGTTCAGTTCGACATTCCAACTACCTGAAGAAGGCCGGAGCGTACAACGACCGAAACGTTGTATTAAATATGGCGACAAAGATGAGAACAATAATCCGAATAAAAGAAATAATAGTCCGAATAATGTAAATAGAGTTGAGTTTAAAATTGGATGAAGGGTGATTTCTTTAACTATTTGTTGTTTTTTGATTTTTTTTTCGAAATATGCATCTTATACAGCGTCAAATACAATCATTAATGGATCCTTGGGTATAACGGTTCGATTCTGGAAGACATGTTTTAATAGTTTTATTTGAATGTTATAAACAGTAAGTGTATTCTAAATGCACAGGTGTACGAAGCATTCAGGGATTGGTACGTAAGTAGTTTTAATAATTTATTAATTAGCTTACCATGTCCAAAGCATTCAGGTGAAAATGAAATGTCATCAATAGCAATATCACAAGCCTCACCAATTCCACAAATCCCGTTTATCTCGAGGGAGTAACTGCAAGCAACAATAACAACGATAATAATAATAATAATAATAATAATAATAATAATAATAATAATAATAAATGGTATGAACACCACCCAGACCCGATTACGGAGATCGGACCTGTAACAATTTATTGAACTACACAATACACACAAACAGAAAAATCAAAGCTAACCGCCCAGGCATTGTTATAAGAGACCGCAAACAAAAAAAAAGTGCCTTCCATATTGATATGGCAGTCCCTGCGGACTGCAATGTTTCTTTGAAGATCTTCAAAAAGCTATCAAAATGCAAGGACCTTGAAATCGAAATCTCAAAAGTGTGGCACATGAGAACATCAACAATCGTTATTGTAGTTGAAGCCCTCGGATTGATTGGAAAAGATTCCAGTAGACTCATTGAAGGGATTCCTGGCAGCCCATGCCTTAAAGAAATACAAAAATTGTTCTCACTAGTACAGCCCACATCTTACAAAATGCTTTATCTATGTAAAATATGTGTGTTATTTTTAAATTGATTAGTGGAAAATGTCATGATGCCATTTTTGACCTCAGGTCTCTGGTTGGGACCCGAAAGGAATGAATACACACCAGAGAACAAAGGAAATAAAAAATAATAATAACTAAAAATATAGGTGAACATTTCACGGTTTTCCCATTTTAATATTCAGATGAATCTTAATTATTAAGTTAATGAGTTAGTAAGCTCTACGACAATTAAATATCCGTGGAAAATCATTAATCGCATCATTAAACATTTGAGGTTAACAGCTTTATGAAAATATTACAATAACAATCATAAATTCTGGTCGTTATTTTAAGATTTCAAATTGACAACTTCTTACATTTCACTGATACAAATCTTATACGCGTCTATCTTCCCTTCTTTCATTTTCTCAGTGAATAAAGTATTCGTAGAAGTCCTCTATCGCATCGTTAAATATTTGAGCTTAACAACTTTAACAAAACCTTAAAGACCCGAGATAATTCCACGGTTTTCCTATTTGAATTTTGGGATGAATCTTAATTCTTCAGTTAATGATTGAATAAGCTCATGGCGAGTTCTATGACAATAAAGTATTCGTAGAAGTTCCCCTATCGCATCGTTAAATATTTGAGCTTAACTTTAACAAAATATTGCAATAACAATAATAAATATGAATTCTGGTCGTTAAAGAAGTAAGGGGATACAAATAAAAAGATGTGCAATTGATGATTTTTTCCATTCCACTGAAATAGAAGTTTTCCAGCCTTCTTTCTTTTATTTTCTCATTGAAACAAATTAGCGATCAAATCGGACAGACATTGTTATTTGAGACGCAAACAAAAAAAATGCCTCTTTATTGATATGGCAGTTTCTACAGAATGCAGTGTATCTCTGAAAATCTTCAAAAAACTATCAAAATACAAGGACCTTGAAATAGAAATCTCAAAAGTGTGGCACATGGGAACATCAACAATCCCTGTTGTAGTTGGATCCTTCGGTTTGATTGGAAAAGATTCCAATAAACTTATTGAAGGGATTCCTAGGATCCCACATCTTAAAGAAATACAAGAATTGTTCTCACGAGTACAGTCCGCACTTTATGAGGGACTTTATCTATGTAAAATATGTGTGCGTTTTTTTTTTTTTTTTTTTTTTAATTGTTCAGTGGAAAATGTTATGATGCCATTTCTAACCTTAGGTCTCTGGACGGGACTCGGAAAGAAATGAGTACACACCAGAAATCAAAGGAAATACAAAAATAAATAAACGAATCAAAAATAATAAACAAGAAATACAGGTCAACAATTCACGGTTTTCCCAAATTAATTTTCAGATGAATCTTAATTATTAAGTTAAAGATTTAGTAAGCTCTACGACAAATTAAATATCCGTAAAAATTCCCCACTCGCATCGTTAAACATTTGAGATTTACAGCTTTATCAAAATATTAAAATAACAAACATAAATTCTGGTCGTTATTTAAGACATGACGAGATACAAATTTGAAACTGACAACTTTTTATATTTCACTGAAACAGAACTTAAAACTTTTATTTTCTCACTGAAACCAAGTAGCGTCTTTTCCGTCTTTCCACGCGATCAAATCGAAATAGTCCATTATTTATGAGGTAATGACAGGGAGTAACGGTCGTGCTAAATAAGGGCGGAAGCAGCAGAATTATAACAAGATAATAAATGTATAGCTGGCCACTCATATTCGTGGATACCCGTCTACTAGGGCAGTTAGCCAGTCCCTGTTGCAGTCACTTACTCAGGCGCATTTGTGTTCATTCAACGCCAACAGAGCCCACCTGTGGTTTATACTGCAACTATGCTGAGCAGACCTTAGTTACTGTTTCTGGGAAAGAGCGGGTTATTTAGCGTGATCAACAATTTGAACGCTCAAGTGTTCGGCCGCGGTGACTTCGATGTGTCTTTGTGTTAGTTCAGCTATCGACGTCTACCCAATTCCACTCTCATGGCTTGGATCAATCTGTTTTATGGTTTTCTGGCACTTTTGAAATGTGCTGCACACTGGGATCTACCCTCTCCAGTCTCATTCCCGACAAATCGACCATGGTGAGATTCGAACCAGGGCCTCATGAATGCGAATGTTCTAACCACTTGGTCACGTGCCCATATAAAAATAGAAGATGATAGATACACATTAAATGCATAAGTTAAGATAGGTATGAAAATAAATACGTTTTGCCTGGTAATTAAACCGAGAGACAATTATATACAGAAAGAAACAATATGAAATGAAATGGCCTGAAGATGTGTGTATATATATATATATATATATATGCATGTTTCATTAAAAACGACAGACAAGGTACTACGGTTGAGCTTTTTATTTAATTTTTCTTGTGTTCTGACAAGAGCTTTCTTTGCTGGACAAAGGGTGTGTAAGAACTGTCCGAATGTTTTGTATTTCCGAGCGCTTTCGGCTATACCTTTAGCCATTATCAGGGATGAGTCGATTATCAGCTTAGTAGAGTGTGTGTGTTCTGTGTATGTTCAGTGTGTGGTAGTGATGTTTTTAATATCCGAATACGGTTAGCACATTATGGCTTTGTTCATAGTTAATATTTATATATATTTATAGTTAAACACTTGAGCGTTCAAAGTGCGTTAAGAGTTGGCTTTTTCTTTTTTATTATTAGAGCTTCCATTATTTTTAGTTTTTTTTTTGCAAGTGGATGCAGTTAATATATTTGTGTTTTCTACTAGTATGTTCCTAATAGTGTCGGGTAAATCTGAG